TGAAGAAATTCAAACAAGTTCAATTATCTGGTCCCGATCTTGGTCCCCACTTACTCCTTTATCTATTCTGCAAGAAAAAAGGTTTAGGTTCCCAACTCTAGTTGTCTATGACTTCTCTAGGGCAAAGAAAGAAAGGAGATCGAATGAAAGGACCTAGTTCACATGAATACGTTGCCTGGTTATACTGTACGTGAATTCTTTTAGTTTTTTATACCAAGAGTATTGTTTATTTCAACAAAGTGGAGATCTACCCAATGATCCTATGATATTTTAATAGAAAATTCTTATTTCTGCTAATTGATATGAATCAAAAAAACCTTTAGAATATTAATATTGAGTTAGGGTTTCTAATATTTATGGTTATAGAAATATAATTCTCTTCGTACCGGATTCAACTCAGTTTAAGTTGGCTACAAACACTACTGCTCATAAGCGTTGTTTTTTCGGAAATTTTATCTTTAAAATAATCTTTTGATTCAAATAATACCCATGCATGCCCGGAATACCGAATAACGCGCACTTAATATGTATTGACGTATTTGATGCATGCACATCAAGTTTAAAATTTTGATACTTTTTTTGAAATAGAGCACATAAGCGCCTCAAAATCATTAAATAAAGCGTAGAGTGTGATTTCACGACTATACTATAGTGTATGAACTATCAAGACTTTGTCTCGTTTAGATTCCATTTCTTATTGGTGTACATGTAAGTCTAATCTGCACGTGAATCGGCATCTTTGTTACTGTAAAAGCACAAGACAGTATGGAATAATTGTCGTTGCATTCTTTCTATTCAATCAAAAATGGACTTAGAGGACAATTTTAATATAGCTTTTGATATTCTTCTAATAATATTTTTCAATTACACACTTCTCTATAGGAATGATTGAATTCACGCTTCTGAAATCTTTTATTTGTACATCTTTGCTTGTGCATTATTATACAAAAAACCCCATCATTACTTCAATCAAAAACCTCCATCATTACTTCAATAAAAGACGTGATGAACATAATATCTTTATATGGTTTTTCACGAAAACTTTACCAATCTCAGAAAATTTTCTTGGAAAGATATTACTTTTTAAAGATATTCACACTATATACAAGCTATCTGGACTCTTTTGGAGGCAAAAGTTCCATTAATATCAATAAAGTCTGTTTATGTCATCAAGCGCATACAATGAGAGATAAGAAATACTGCAATCTCAAAATTACGATTGGATTTTTGTAGTTAGCCATTGCCTATAGAGAATACGCAATTTGGCCGAATGAGGCAATGTTGGCCCAAGACAAGATCATAACAGGTCATATCACTAAGTTCAAATTATAAAATCATATAACAAGATCATATGATTTTATTAAATGAACTTAGTGATATGACTCGCTATGATCCTATCATCGTCCAACCAAGGAATGAGGCGGAAATCACAGTGATAATTATTTCTTCAATAATAAATTATGTTTTTGGGTGAAGTTATCTATTCGCGGATGGATAAATTATGTTTTTGGGTGAAGGTATCTATTCGCGGATGGATAGAATTTATAGATGACAAACGAAGGTATAAAAGACTCATATTAGTTAAGTATAGTCCTGTAAAATTCTTATGGCAGATAACCATAGAATTGATGGAAATATTAATATCCCTATTGACAAAATACAAGCTCTTTACTAATGCTAATAAATTTTCTTATAACTTTAACACAAGCAATACATTGTCATGTGATTGGTGAATATTGTCAACGACGTGAAAATTTTCTAAAAATACTTTAAACGCTTTAACTTTTCATATATGAGCTATTCACAAACAACACATACTAACAATAACCTTGTAAATACTGTCCTTATAATTCGGTACAACTAATCAGTTGTTACTTTTATCTCTGAGAGTGCAGATAATGAGGGTAGTGATTATCGCTATTTATAACATAATTGTTTATTGCACAGTTCTTTATATTTCCATACTATATATATTTATATAAATATATACATTTTTAAAGTTTTGTTTATCAATCACAAGATGTCTTTTGCCTTTATTCGGTGACTTTTTTTTCAAAAAAAAAAATCATAAGATATGAAATGCACTAAAATCAAGAAATATATAAATAATGACCATGAAATAAATAAAGGTATATTCAAAATTACGGAATTATAGAAATAATAGCAGGAAAACCATTCTTTAATATCTTTTCTTCTTAACTGATTTACTTGATACAATATCAGCAAGCACATAGTTTTCTGATATGTCTAACTTGGAAATAATTGATTGCATACCTTATATTGCGGTCACTGTAATTCTTTTAACCCTTATAATCTTAGAAACAATTTTAGAAATTCTGAGACCTCCGTATGCAATATTGTTAAATCGCATAACTTATTTTATCTATTTTACCTTAATAATATTCCTATTATTCATTTTTCCGCCTATATTCTCTTATGCGATAGAAAGTTTTAGTAGAAGAACAATATTTTTAATAAGGTTTGATGGTGCAGCAATCGGAGTGTTAATAATAACAATAATTTTTAGTTATTTATTAAGTTATTTCTATCATAGTAAATATGATGGGTGTCTCAGCCTCGTCAGTATAATACTGACCCTTGTCCACCTATGTGATTTTTTCGGTTTACACGTAATAATAGATTTAGATGTTAAAATTATGATTTCGTTTAGTGTCATTTTTGTGGCTATTGTTTTTTTAACTTGTTGTGAATATTGGTTATGGGGAATGATTTTAGTTGGAATAGATCATTATTTACTATATTTCGGTATTTTAAAAGTAAACAAAATTTCACTTTTATTGTTTTGGGCATTTGGGGCAAATTCATGGTTTATATTAATTTCTATCGGTAAAATATTTATACCTAAGTTTAAATTAGTTTTTATAAGAGATTATCCAAGAGATTATCCAAGAGTAAATGATGCAGTAAGTGAGACCCCGTAATAAAAGTGGATGGTAAAGTCATATCGATATGTAACATTTTTAGCTGTATAATAGTAGATAATAATAAAGTTTTCAAAAGTACAGTAATATCTTTATCAATTTAATATAGATTTTTACATTATATTTTTTCGTTACGTTACAAGTTAACATCATTAGCAATATCGAATATAAATTATACATATTAAAGCACCATAAACAACCGTTCCTAATTAAAAAATTAGGATAAGATAATGGCCTGTTCTAAAGTTAGCCTGGAAGTTGCAATCACATTTTTTGGTTAATACGTTAAGCGTGCATGTGTATGCATGTGTATGCTCTGCATCGTTTCACAATTTAAGTCGATTTTGAATTAAACTATGAGTCATAATTTTCACCGATTTAAAAAATAACTTAGTTCAATTCTTAATGCAGCACTGCAAAATTTATGAATCAAGTCTATTATACATAGAGGTGATCTCATTATATTTACCGTTAGAATGTGACCAATCATCTGCTTGACAAATAAATACTAATTTATTTATATAAATAAATTAGTGCTTATTTGAAATGGAACCGAAATTTAATCAAAAATTAGAATCAGTATTATCAATATTTTTATACTACAAAGTATAATGTATGTCATAAATGATGTAAAATAAAAAAAATAAAAAAGCCCTTAAATGTTTAATTCATTTTCATTTTCATTCATTTCTAAAGATGAAATGATACAACTTTCTGGCTCGCAAAACCTTTGACCGAATATTAGGAACCTTTATTCATTAAAGAACAACAGATGCTATCAATAGATCGAAATAAATATAATAAATATTTAACTGTGCTTAAAAATTTAGTCACGCGAATTTTTTTTATATGCTTTTGTTGTTTTCTATTTAAGTTTATGAAGCTTCCTTTTTTTTTAATTTAGTTGTAATTTACCCAAATTTTACGTTTTTTTAATTTTATATGCAAAATATTACGTAAAGTATTTTTATGACTTTTATTTATACAAAAGAACATTTACGGTATAATTAATATAATACCCTGGCTCAACTCTCTCACATGACTTTTGTCAGGAGGAAATTTGTAACTAGTTAGTAAGTTATTAACCTA